CCCCCCTGTCCCCGCCTCCCCATGTGTGCAGGGTGTTCGTGGACGTGGTGAACGGTGAGCTGGTGCCCAGGAAGTCGATCCTGAAGTCGCGCAGCCGCGAGAACAGCGTGTGCAGCGACACCAGCGAGAGCAGCGCCGCCGACACGGACGAGCGCCGCGGACCCCTCCGCTCCACCAGCCACGAGGAGGCGCCGCAGAGCGACGCCAGCGAGGGCAGCCCCGAGGAGGGCGCAGTGCCTGGCCGGGCCCCGCCGACTCCTGGCCCTTCAGAGGTGCGCGTGGTAGTGTTCAACCCTCAGGCACCTTTGCGGCACCATTCCACCCCCCCCGCCACATTTAGCGGGCGCGCTCTCTTGTTCTGATTTTGGGGGATGAAGGCAGACGCTGACGTGAGTCCTGTGATGTAGTCTGGGGTAATTTCTGCTCCCAGTGATCTGAGAAAAGGGGCTCTGTTAGCCCGGGTGGCAGTGAGGGGGGGGGCTATGAACGACAGGACGGGCGCCTTTCATCTGTCCTGTGAAGCCCTTTCAGATGCCTGCCCCGACGTGATGCTTAAAGCCCCTTAGGCAGATTTCAACATAAGGACAGCACACGTTATATTGTAGTGTAATGTAAGCTAAAAGGTGGTCTGGCCGAAGGAGGGAAATCCTTTTTTCAACAAATGAAGAAAAAACAATTTTTAAAATGTTTTTATTGTGTTTTCCGAAAAGCAGGCATTTTCTGGGACAGTGGTGGAGAAGGACCCTGGGCTGCAGCCATCGATTCCCCATCTGACCATCACTCCGCCAGGTCTGCCCACCATCCCTGAGAGGAAGTCCGAGGAGCTGGCCCCCGAGGGCCCCCCGGACCCCCCCAAGCGGGTGTCCAAGTTCAAGGCGGCCCGCCTGCAGCAGAAGTGACCAGTCCCCCCCCGGCTCAGGCCTTCCGATTTAAGCCTCTGTTCGAGCTTCTGCTCTGTTTGCCGTCCTTCTGTCACTTGTTGCTTTTTCTATCCTCCTGAGGACCGGCTGGAACGTTTAGGAAAAACAAGTTTATAAATGAGCACGAGCGCTCGTCTCTGCGGGGGGGGGAGGGCCACGAGCGAGAGGGTCTGCCTGTGTGAGACCGTGCGCATCCTCGGGGGGCAGCCGCGGGCGTGTCTGAGCCGGGGGCACAGCACAGGCTGGTCAGTACTGAGCGGCACCTCCTTCAGGAAGACCTCCACGCACTACCTGAGCCTAGTGGGCGGAGCCATCTGCTTTGACCCTCCCCACTCCCTGTTCAGTGGCCCCCAGCCCCTTCTGTTTAGAAATCTTAGTTGCATTTTAGCTGTCCTAAGTTCGCTTGTACAGATCCAGGCCTGCGGGCCGCACCGCAAACTATCTTCAGCTTCGTCCTTCTGTAACCTTTGACTTATGTTGACTTCTATGAGTATTTCCCAGAGTTGGAAAGTTCAGGTCCAGAAAGTACAAATCCAGACCAAGTTTTTGTTTCAACCAACCAGTTGAGTATAAAGAGTCACAGAGCACTCAACTGGTTGGTTGAAACAAAAACTTGGTCTGGACCTGAACTTTCCACCTCTGCTATTTCCAATGTGACATTAAGATGCTTAACTTTGTGAAATTGTTGTAAAAGGAAAATAAATGTTTTTGTGAACATGTGTTGGGAGGTTGGTCTTCTCTGATGCTGATGGGAAGTTCTCAGGGTGTGTGTGTGTGTGTGTGTGTGGGGGGGGGGATTTGGGGGGTTACTGGGATAAGCAGCATTCTGACATCACCTGCCTCCTTTCCCTACACTACACTTCACAGAGGTGAAGCTGTCAATCTCAAATTTCCAACTCCCAAGAAGCTCACCGCCCCACCAGCCAGCCACTAATAGGTCCGTTTTAACAGTATGACTGAGAACAACTGCCGCTGCTGATGTACGTTTGTCTCAAAGGTTCACCTGCCCGTCACAGGCGGGGAAGACTAACGGTCTCGCCTTAACTCACCTAATGATCCATAGTGCCGGCTCCGCCGTAAGTCTGACCCAGCTCCCCGAAGAAGATCAATCACTTGATTCCCTCCTGTCGCCAGGTCAGATCGGACAGGTGGGGGCAGAGGGAGTGGGAACCGTCTGGAACTGATTTTGTGGATCCGAGCCTCAAAGGTCAGAATGGATAGGGGGTGGCGGTTATGGAAAGTGCTGTATTAGTGCTAAGAGGCCTTGTCAAGCTGTTAGACTGGCACACTGCGAATCCTCTGCCCTTTGTTAGTGTGAATGCTTAAACAGACTTCTATAACTTGCGAATCTCAGATAAATCACTTTCACTGTCTGTCTGGGAGCTCGGCGTGGGCTGGGGGGGGGGATGCTGTTTGCAGGCACATCACGTGGCCTGGCCGTACCCGCCAACAAAATTGCACCCGCTACACTTTGCATTGAGTTATGTAAACACCATACATCGTCGGCAAGGTGTAAACTTGTCTTGTGAAAGGTGAATCCTAGAAGGATGTGTTTTTGAGTTGTAAGCTGTGGGAAAATAGATTTTTTTTTCTTCAGCTGCTGTACTATATGGAGACAGTCCTCTTGTTAATTTATTTTTAATGCCGTTTTCCTGGAGATGTGCCTTTATATCTACAGTAGATGTGCGATAAGGATTGTAGGATCTGAGTATGAAGTTTATGACCGTTTCTCAGTGTATTGTATCAAAATAGCAACTACATTTTGATCAGATTACCCTCAGAAGGACATTTGTGCTAAATCAGGTTTGGGTAATTCTCACCACGACGAGGGGAGTTTGAAGTGACTCCCCTAGACCACTAGAAATTCTTCCTTGATGCCTTTCTGGAACAAATTTAATCGTGAGGTACTTAATGATTAAAATATTTAAATTATACTGAAAAGTGTTTCGTATAAACCCAAGGTACGGTACCAGAAAATCGTCTGGTTGCGGTAATTAGTCTGCTGCGTGTGAAATAAGTCCACAGAAACAGACATCCTTCCAGTTAACCTTTCAGGCACTATTTAGACCAAAAGAAGGGGCTAATAATGGCCGGCGATGTGAATGTTTATCCTCCTTTCTTGAGCGGGTCTCCCATTTGGGGGCTAAGACGACGACGGCCAATTACTGTAATCTACTGCTTATTATGTGCCATGATTGCAATGTTTGTGCCAAAAAAAGGACTGATGAAGGCCGTTGTGCTTTATTCAGTCAGCGCTTTGTGTTTGAGATCCACACTGGTCATCCTGGTTTTGTTTTTTAAAAATTGAGGCCATGTAATTTGAAGGGGTGGGTAGGGAATTCTGTGGGACAGAGATGGCGTCTCGGGGCTGGTGTGTAATCAGCTTTGTTGGGAGAGTCACCATCACAAAGGGGGAAAAAAGGCAGGCAGGCTGGGTGCTTTCTGTACAAACTTCTCGTGACGAGACCTTGCTGCAAACGGCAGGGACGGATTAAATTATCTGGGGAGCATGCACTATGGGGTGCTGCCGATCTGACTAACCGCTCTGTTTCTCCCCATGTGAGTCGGGCCTGTGGGCTGTAGCCTAGGATGGCCTGGGCATTATCTCCTCCCCCCCCCCCCCCCCCC